ATCTAGTTGATCTTCTTCCCTTGTACATTTTTTTCCCTTTTCCCATTTTAATCGGGAAAATTTAATAACTCCCAAGGAAAACATTTTATATAGTATGATGCTCTCATGAATGCAAGATGCACATACACTTTACAACAAAATTTCCTGGGTTGATTCAAAGGTTAAGAGTTAAAAAAAAAATCCGTATCTGCACCCTTTCATCTCCAACCCCATCGTATTTGAACGAAGGGGGACTTAAATAACTATAAAAGATATAACGACTCGAAGGAAGAGTTTATTATTCGGGAAAAGGGATAGAGAGACGCACTTATTCTACTATCATTCAGTTGATTTCAGCACTCGACTTTAGCAAGTAAAGAAAGAGAGAAAAAGACAAAGAGACAGAAAGAGAGAGAGAGAGAGAGAGAGAGAGAGAGAGAGAAAGAGAAAGAGAAAGAGAGTCGGAACTCTCGTTTATCACCGAAAGGGGTAAACTTGATACACGATGCAGGAAACGTATAGAAAGCGTTTCCAGACCGAAAGAGTAGGTTGAAGAAAGGGTGGTGAGAAGAGGAGGATGAAGGAGAAGAGGAGAAGAGAATATTGGTGGGGAAGAGACGAAAGAGGAGGAGGAGGAGAAGGAGGAGAGGGGAAAGAAGATGAGAGAGTCAGAGAAGCAGCAGTGCCTCTTTTGAACACACGGTAGCCGCCAACTCGAACGAAGAACACAACGCATCGTCGTGTAGTACGCGTTCGTTCAACGTGTTACTCCACTTGCCAAGAGCTATAAGAGAAAGAGAGAAGATGGGTAGTATGATGGAGAAAAAGAAGAGCGAGAGTATCGAACGCTACCGCATGAATAAATCCCTTTGAAGTACGTGTTGGTCGACCGACTCTCCGAAAACTCTCTCTCTCTCTCTCTCACTCTCTCACACACTCTCTCTCTCTCCCTCACACTCTCTCTCTCTCTCACTCTCTCACACACTCTCTCTCTCTCTCTCTCTCTCTCTCTCTCTCTCTCTCTCTCTCTTGGGCCATGAGGCAACGATACACCCTTTTCTCTTTCCACGGTTCCACGACTTCAAAACGTAGATAACGTGCTTCTCCGCAAACTTCGCCTTATGCACGCAACATTGTACGCACGTTACCACCATTCAACGACTCTTAAGTCTCTTTGGATTTAACCAGTACAAGCACGCACATCTTCCTTTCTTTTCTATTTCTCTCTCTATCTCTCTCTCTCTCTCTCTCTCTCTCTCTCTCTCTCTGTCTCTCTCTCTTTCTCTCTCTCTCTCTTTCTTTCTTTTCTCTGTTCATTCTTGTCTCTTTCAATTTCTCTTCTCCTCTTTGCGAGCTCAAAGGAAAAACAAAAAAAGAAATAAGAAAAAAGAAAGAAGAAGAAGAAAAATGAAAAAGGAAATTTCATAGAGACGACGTGAAAATCCGACGTAAAGTATTAAAGATAATAACAAATTGAATTCTTAGATTTGGAATAAGTTTATTACTTTTTAAATTCATTTTTGTTTTTTGCTCTCTCTCTCTCTCTTTCTTTCTATTCTTTTCTTCTTTTCCTTTGTTTGGTTTTGTTTTTTTTTTGTCTTTTTTTTTTGTTTTTTTTATTTTTTACTGCTTTACTTCGTAAAAATATAAGTTAGGAAAATGTTATCGAAAGTACTAGAAAAGAATAAGAGAAAGAGGGATAGCATGGAAATCGACGTAAATATAATAATACATACATATGTAAGGCACACAAATCGGCCATATCATAAAAGCAGTTTACGAGACTACAGTTTGTCGATTCTAACGGTTAAGCTTCTCGCAGCAAGATCGTCCAAGTATCGTCAAAGCGATCCCTCTTTATATCCTTGAAGAGTTATCGAAGGGAGGCCTGTCGACGAACTAGACTTCGAAACTTTAAACATCGATCTCTCTACTCTGTCTGTCTTTCTCTCTCTCTCTCTCTCTCTCTCTCTCTCTCTCTCTCTCTCTATCTATCTATCTATCTATCTATCTATCTATCTATCTCTTTCTCTCTATCTCTCTCTATCTCTATTTAACTTACTTGTTCTCTCTCACTCTCTCATACTCTTCTGGGCTTCCGAAGGGACGTTTTCGGTGTAACGAGCAAACGCTTAAAATTCGGCTCGCTCACGTTGAACGATAACGGTTAATCGTGAAAGCAACCCGCTTCCGTCTCCTCGAAGAGGAAACAAGCGCTCGATACTCTCGGGAGGACTTATCGTCTCTTCGGAAACGATCCTCTGCTGAAACTCTCTTTCCCTCCCTTCCTCTCTCTCACTCTCTCTCTCTCTCTCTCTCTCTCTCTTACCCTCCTACACTCACAATCTGGATATCTCTTTCTCCAGTCTACTTTCATCTCTATTCATCATTTGTAATTCCATTGTAATCCTACTAGTATTCACGTACCTTAAGTATTATTAATAATTCGTTGTCTTAAATATCGATCTTTTACTCATTTATTTTTACCTCTTATAAAAACCATATTCCTCGCTTCGAACTTACCACCGAAGATCGTAAAATTTCGTGTTCTTTTTCCCTTTTCCTTTTTTTTTTTTTTCTTTCTTTCTTCTTCACCTTCTTCTTTTTCTCTTTTTTTACTTTTTCCTATTTTTCTCTTATCTTTATTCATGACTTTATATCGTTTTTTCTGCATAAAAGAGAGATTCTATATATATATATATTAGAATAAATCGAAACGTTATGGAAAATTTTTTGTCAATTTAATAAATATATGTATACTCTTTGGTCTTGACTTAAAATTCGAAAGTATAGAAGCAAACGAATTTAATATCTTTCTTTCTAAATCTTATGCTTTCACTTTTTTTTTTCACTTAATCGTATAAATACTATCACGTCTATCTCTTGCTTTATCTGAATTCTGTAGATTTCATTTTTCCTTTTCTTTCTTTCTTTCTTTTTATTATTATTATTATTCTAAGTAAAGAATGAATCAACGTATAAGAATGATCGTACGATGGCTGACATTATCAAATTCGCAAAGGGTTAGTAAGCGTCTGGTAACGTTTGGTGAGGCGCACGCCTTTAGCATTGGCCGATAATTCGTGCGACGAGGACAATGATTTACGCTTTAGCGGCCGAACAACGGATTCTTGCGACCGCAAAGACCGCAAAGGGTCACGAGCTGGGCGTAGTAAAGCCCTACCGCCCTCCTCCTCTTTCTCCTCCTCCTCCTCCTCTTCCTCTGCTCTCTTTCGACCTGAAACCCCTCCAGACTACACCCTTTTATCGTCTCTCCCACTCTCTCTCTCTCTCTCTCTCTCTCTCTCTCTCTCTCTGTGTGTGTGTGTGTATGTGTGTGTGTGTCTCTTTCTCTCCTTCTCTCCGTCCGTGATTATTTATGCCGACTGGTTCTCGTTCGATAATTGAATTCGCATCCGCCAAAGTACATATCTACAACGAAAAGCTTTCTTAATTTGAAAACTTTTTAATATGATAAAATAATAATAATGATAATAATAATAATAATAATAATAATGTTAATAAATGAATGAGCATAAAAATTATATACTTATAAGGACTCTCAATCCTGTCAATTTATAAATAAATTGTTGTTACAGAAGAAATAGTATAAATTTAAACATGACATAAATTATGACAAGAATATATCCTGTTTATTATTAATACGTTGTACTTTATCATTATTATATTTTTGTTCTTTCTTTTTCCTTTGTTTTGTTAGAAAAATAATTCAATCAAATGAACAAAAAGTACGAATAATTTTAAATACATTTTTATAATTTTTTTTCTTCCTGATAAAACACGTTCTTCGCTTTATACAGTTTATTTTATTACATATGTAGCAATGAACTTATGCTCCTATATATACATATATGTATATATATAGTTTTTCTGAGTTTAATTCGTGATTGACCGATAAAGTATTTTTTAGAGCTCATGAAATCAGACTCGTGATTAATGCACAAAGTATTAAATAAAGGAACAAAAGGAAATCTGTTAGTACGTAAAACAAATAAGCTTATTCTACATTAATCTACTTTCTTACATCATAGAAACAAATCTTTGCGTATAGAACAAAAATTATGTAGGCGATGAATCTAGGTGAATCTCTTATTTTTAAATTGACTTTATTCAATATGTTAATTACAATAAGACTGATAGATTATCTTTAAAACGACGATATATGTACATACGTGCCAAGAATAGGATTCTGCTGCGGAAGAATTTTCTCTTGCGTGATCCAAGTCCAAGTCGATGAAGAAAAAGACTCAAAGTATTCGGATATGCGGTTAAGAAAAAAAGTCGGTTAAGAGGTTTGCGCCTAGTCCGAAAGCGCTAGCTCGTTTGTCGCAGAAAAAAGATGGATGCTACGGAAGGGTGCTTGGGTCGATAGATTCGTGTTGAAGTGTCGCAGATAGTTGGTTGGATAGATAAACCGGTAGGGAGAAAGAGGGAGAGAGAGAGAGAGAGAGAGAGAGAGAGAGAGAGAGAGAGAGAGACGGACAGATAGAAAGAGAGAGAGGGGGAGATGGAGGGAGAAAGGCGGACAGACAGAAAAAGAGAGAGGGAGACAGAAAAACAGGCAGACAGACAGACAGAGAAAGAGAGAGTATACACATGCGTATATACCCTTCAGGGTTTTTATTATAGAGATCCGATCGTTCACGAAGATTGAAAAAATTCGTCGGACATTGAAATGATATCGGGATGGGTGCGAGAGAAAAAATAGCTTTTACGATAGGTATCATGATGAAATCGATAGTTTTACGTTCGTCAAAAATTAAAAAAAAATAAAAAATAAAAAAAAATAAAAAATAGGAAAAGAAAACAAGATAAAAAAAAAGACGAAAAAAATACCAGATATAAAAGAGCTTTTATGTAATTAAATATCTATCTACGAAATACATGAGTTATATAACAGACATTGAATGTACATTTTTTTTTTTTTTTTTTTTTTTTTTCTTTTGTATCATAACTTTTCACGTTATCTAAGTATCACCATTGCTTTTGATATTTTACAGATAAATCTACGCCTCATCCTCGTCAGTGGTAAGACAAAAGAGTTCCTATTCAGTCCGAGCGACTCCGCGGGGGATATAGCGCACCATGTGTTTGAAAACTGGCCGGAAGGTAGGTTGTTATTGGATTTCGACATTCCGCAGATGCTCCTGTAGAACGAGGATAGAGTACCGGATAGGAAGGCGGTCGTTAGTCGGTTGAATTCAAACGGGGGCATAAGATTTATGAGACCGAGCTACGCTACTGTCGATTATTGCATCGAGAATCTTTCAAACAACTTCGGGATTGAAAAATCAACGGCGATCCTCATATATCACTCGCAAAGCAAAGAGAGGAGCATAGCCGAGTGCGTTTCTGCTTTTAAATATAACTCTCTTTCTTTCTCTCTCTCTCTCTCTCTCTCTCTCTCTCTCTCTCTCTCTCTCTCTCTCTCTCTCTTTTTTAAACGAATGAAATCTTTTTGTATTCGACTATCGATGAAACGTTATTCGTATAATTAATTGTTTGTAGAATTTTATAATCGGTCGGATTGTAAATATTCTTGGAAAAAAAGAAAGAGGGGGAGAGAGAGAGAGAGAGTGAGAGAGAGAAAGAGAGAGAAGAAGAAGAAGAAAACAGATCTTTAAGTTGGAACGAAATCTTTTTTTCTCTGTCATTCTTTCTTGATAGTATCGCGTTCTAGTTGAGCATCTAATCAATTTCCCTGTCCACATTTTAAAAGATTAAGCTAAGTGAAAGTTCGAAAATACCTCGGATCACGAGGAAAGGGTATTCACGTTAAAAGAATACTTTTGTTTCTTCAGACTGGGCGGAAGAGGCTGTTGCCAAAGCGGAGATCCTGCGGCTAATCTACCAGGGACGTTTTCTGCACAGCAATGTCACGCTCGGCGCTCTTGGGCTTCCTTTCGGGAAAACCACGGTGATGCATTTGGTACCACGAGAAAATCTTCCCGAGCCTAATTCCCAAGGTAAGAGAGACGGAGGAAACGGAAAAAAAGATAAAAAAAAAGAAAAAAAAACGAAAGGAAAACAAAGAAAAAGAATTTGTAGAAGAAACGATTTCAGACGTTTTTCTCATCTCTTAATTTCTTTCCCTTCCTTAATATCCCTGATATATCTACTCCTTATCACGCGAAATTTGTATTTTTCATTATTAACATCACAATTAGGCACGATTATAATGCTTTTTTTCTTTTTCTTTTTTGGTAATTTTTTTCTTTCTACTTCGTCGAGAAGTAATATTTTCAAAGTAGAAAGGGTATACACGTTCTTCTTGTAACTACAAATCGCAATTAATTTTGAGTAATTAAAAAGGAGGAATATAGCTGTTTAACTTGGATAATGAAATAGAAAAAAAAAGAAGAAGAAATGCTCATAATTTCATCTATCTCTATCTTGATCATTAAAATTAATGAGATATATTTGCGATCTCAAAGATTCTTTTCTCGTAACCTGTTGCTTCTGTTGGTCATGGGAATACATAATTATGTTACACGATAGTAATATTTCCACCAACGTTTTTAAATGACGTATGTATTTGTAGGATACTCTTGAACAATGATTTATTCAAAAGAAGAAATTTCATTTCCGTACCTTGTAGGTCTCCTACCTAACGGTGAATATATGTATATCCAACCTGACGATGATCTTGACTACGATGACTACAGCTAACAAAGATCATTCGATCCCTATATTTTAAGTGAGTCCTAAGTCCTTCCCTGATCATTTTGATATATATATATATATATATATATATATATATATATATATATATATAAATCCTTACTCTTGTTAGAAATATTTCTAAAACATCAATAATATTTATTCGTGATGCACCACTGAAGATCATGACCAATAGTAGTGACAGCATTTACAATTAATTGTTCTTGTATTATTTGTTAATATTTGTAATAACGATCACGTTTTATTTACATCTTATTTGTGATTATTTACTTTAAATGATATGTGCTGTCTTTCTTGAGTCTTTTTGTTCTCATTCTATGTTCATGTTTCAATTCCATGATACTCATGATGTTCATGTAGCGTGATTTTTTATTAAAAAAAAAAAAAAAAATGAAAGAACCAAAGGATAAACGGCAAACCTTTTTGAAATTTGCTAATATATTACGATATTTTAAATATAAGATATACAATGAAACATTTCTTTCATTTCAGATCAAAGGCAAAAAAGTAAAGGTGGTGGTAGCAGTTGCTGCTCAGCATCCTGCTGCATACTTTAATCGGCTGCCCTGGATTTTCTGAAGTCGTGTTTAAAAGTGGGCCCAGCACGAGTACCTTCGAGCTGAGCTATGATTTCTAAGGTTTTATGCTGATGTCTAATTGCTAGTGGCTGAGCTCATGAGCAATGTAGCACAAATTACTCGGATTCTTCTCGTTTACGTGTTGATCGATAGAAGATAATAGGAGGTAGGAGAAAAGACAATGAGGGCAAAGAAAAAGAAAAAAGAACAGAAAAGTATGAATTTAAAACCAAAAGAAAGAAAAATCGAAGGCGAGGAACAAGGAAGAGCAAATACAAACACATACACATATTTAACACAACTTCGATATAAAATCCCATGAAATGAAAATGGAGAAAGATAATAGAGTATGAAAACAAAAAAAGAAACAAAAATAATATTTCTTCACTTTAAATAATAAAACACATTTTTATGCGCTAAAAAATAAAATTAATGAAGGTATATATATATATATATATATATACATATATAAATTGCATGATGATTGATTGATAAAAATTAGCACAATGACGTCCACTACATAAAAGAAGTTACTATTATTATTGAGAAGAGTAAGAAATGCAATTGTAAAGTTCGAGCCAAAGCATATTGTCGTCTCTAATTTTCGTTTCGTAGCGAAAACATATGTCACGTGTATAATTTATACAAAGGGATATAGTTCACCCATACATATAGACACACACATAAACACACGTACAAAGATACACGAATACATGTTGCTCGATGTTTCTGTACTGAATAAAAAATGCTTGTTTATAGTCTTTCGATTGAGCCAACGGGTGCTATAGCCGTCTTGGATCATGCTTGATCGATGGATAGATCATCGTAACCGTGCAGACAGGATGATCTAAAAATTTTAAGATCTTGTGCCTCGATCTTCGAGTATATCCTTTGCTATCACCTTGTAACAGAAAAAGAGAGAAAGAGAGAGAGAGAGAGAGAGAGAGAGAGAGAGAGAGAGAGAGAGAAGAAAAAATAATAAGAATGAAAGAGAAAAAGAAAGAGAATTAACCCTTTAATCCTTTTTCCTCTCCGACATGCATTTTATTGGTGAGAATACATTTCCATTGAGAAATAAAAAAAAGAGAAAAAAATATTGTTATTATTATTTTTCTTTCTTTTTTCTTCGTTTCACGGAAAAAATTATCAAAGAGAATGAACGTAGAGTTTTGATAAGTAAAGATATATACGCTCTCTTGAAAGACGCTACAATGCTTAGAAACTCAACCACTACTCGACTACCGCAGCGTTATAACAATTATGTAGATGGAAAAAGAAAAATCGTATGAGTGTGTTTGCAGAACGGTATGAATGATGTCAATCTTGCGTATATAAGAGTATTTGTGCGTACGAATGTATATGCGAGTTGTATGTCAGAAAGAAAACGAGGAAAAGATAGTGAGTGAGTGAACGAGAGAGCGGGGAGAGAGAGAGAGAAAAAGAGAGAGAGAGAGAGAGAGAGAAGGAGAGAGAGGGAGGGAGGGGGAGATAGAGGGATGGTGGGAGAAAGATAGAGGGGGGAGTATGTGAGCGCGCGTGTGCGTTTGTATGTGTGAGAAAGGAGAAAAAATTTATGTTGTGATATGCAGGTAGTGAATATATTATATACATACTATTATTAAAATTATATTATATATATATATATATATATATAAATATATATATGATGGTATGAGACACGTTGACACGTAATTAAACTCTCATACAAATAGACTTTATTATCATGAATTTAAAGTAATATTATGACGCCACTTGAGAGTTTAGTATTCTGAATAAGATTACCAAGGAACGAGGTAAACGAGATAACAAAAAAAAAAAAAAAAAGAAAAGGAAAAAAAAAGAAAAAAAGTGAAAAAGAAAACAAACAAAAAAAAGATAAAGAAAAAAGAAGAATGAAAAGAGAAAAACACATTGGATCTCTAATAATAGTTATGATAAAATAACTCAAATATATTTCCTGTTAGCCCCCTACTTGTCCTTCCTCCGAACCTCTCTTTGTCTCCCCCCCCTCCTACCTCATCCTTCCTATCTTTGTCTCCTTTCCTCCCTCTTCTTCGTGTACTTTGCCCCCGTCCATTATTACGAATCGGACCTAAAATCACCGGATGAACGGCACCCAACCTACACAACCCCTCCTTCCTATTCCTCCAGTCCTGCCTGACTGGTGGACGCATTAAAGTATTGATTATTATAGTTAGGTCCAACCAAATCATTATATGTTGTAACAAACCTATTCTATGCATATTCTACTATAAAGAAACGAAAAAAAAAAACTGTACCCTACTATGACTTTCCAATGCATAACATGTGTATATATATATATGATGTTCTTATATAGTGAAATTCATCAAAATTAACATTTGTAAAGTTATTTTATTTATTTTCTCTTAAAGCTCCAAAACCGATCGCGTTTATAGCTAAGGCAAATGGTATTCGCTAAGCTCATAAACCTGAATAACGTAATATTAAAAGTTCTGTTTTACAGAAATACACTCCGGATATTTTCGCTCGAATATCTACGTAATAGTTAAGACGTTGATTATTAATACGTGTAATTTATAAATTTTAAGTAATCGCCGATCGTTTATAAACGATTCTGTTTTGTTCTCGCGTTCTCTATAAAATATCAAAATTCTATGAAAAACGTGAATGGCGTTTTAATAACTATGTACAAAAAATATACTGGTTTATGAGAATGGGCCAGAAGATTTTTCATTATAGCGATGCGATTATTTTTGCTATTTTTTCCCCTGACGACAAAACGTTTATTAGTCATCAGGAATCATATAAAAGCAGCATTAATTTAATTTGTTCGCAACTTTTCTATTCATTTTTAAAATAATGTTAAGACATAGATTAATCGTAGATGCTGTTTAAACACCATAAAAGAAATTGTTTAGTATATAAGTTTTAAAATTGCGAATAAACACATCCCAATGAATATATATATTATATTCATGATTTATCAAAATGCAAAAAGAAAAAAAAACAACATAGAATGGAGATCGATACACTGTCTCAACATGAATGTACTCCTAATATCACCAAACAAAAGTTTAAGTATACTTAAGATTCTGTTGATCTTCTCCCCGTTATATAATATATAATAATTTAATATCTGAGCGATTTGAATGATCGAATCATATAATTTTCCCAAATGAAATTTGGCTCTGAAAGAACGAACCTTTTACTTGAATTGCCAATCGACGTAATAAAAAAAAGTGAAAAGAAAAACCAAAAAGAAAAAATAAATGAAGAAGAAATGTATTAGAAAAGAAAAAAAGGAAAGGAAGAGAAGAAAAAAGATTATATCTAAAATATAATACTTATAATTCTGATTTCAGGATATATTGTAATAATGTTTCTAGAAAGAGAAACTTGAGTAACTATTAAAAATAACGAAAGAAAGTATTCGAACTAATTGCGTATAATATCAGTATCATGGTATTTAAATCTAATAATATGAAAATGTATATGATTGATTGCATATGATTTTTATGTTTCTAATTTCCCGTTGCTTACAATCCAAGTAAAAGGATTACGTGATTATGAAATTTTCTACATGGTTATCATTCAATTGAAATGACAATTTTTAAAGGAGAACAATAGCGCTCTACGAACATATTGTGAAGTACCTTTGACGTTGCAATATTACTTTAAAACAATAAAAATGAATATAGATATTTCATCAACATCATCGTACGATGCTCTTGGTTCATATTTTTATTTTTCCAAACTGTAAAACAATTTTTTCTTTTTTATTATTATTATTATTATTATTATTATTATTATTATTATTATTATTATTATTATTATTATTATTATTATTATTAATATTATTATTATTACATCTTTTTGATTTCGTCTTGTGGAACACAATTTATGATAAAAGTTGGAGACTTTTATCCAAAAATTGATCTTGATAGAAGATTTCGAAAGGCGATATTCACCCACCAATCAATAAATGATTTTTAACAACGACGGAACAATGATCAAGATTCCTGTCACATTTGTCTTATTATATTTGAATATTTTAAATAATTTTAGAAATATCTAATCATATAAATAATCTCGAGAAGCCAATTAGCTGTGTTATATTCAGAAAGGATATCGATAAAATGGTTAGTGGTATATATCTTAACGTTTAAAATTCGATTTGAACACAAAATATTATATGACATAATATATAGTTAATCCCTTTAACTGTTTAAATAATAAAAAGAGAAAAAAGTGAAAAGAAAATGATAACAGAATGATTGTGGTATTCTTAAATAAGCAAATAAATTATTAAGAATACTTACATATACCAATCATATCAAGATCATAGCTAATAAGATCAAACGAGGTACATTGCTAGCTCATGTATAAACATTGATTGTTCATTGGCTAATACGATATTTATAAAACCATTTTTAATCGAACCTACGAAGGAGTTTGATCGTGCCTTTACGTAATTTGTATTGCTTTAGCACGATAAATAAAAGCAGTCGCCTTTTCGATCATTTAGATAACAAAATAACACGTTGAAGGCAGAAATTATTATCAATTTAAAAATGCATTAATATTAACATTGCCAACGTCATGAAAATGTTTCTTTCTTTATGAGATTATTTTGTACAACAATAACAACAATAATAATTATAGGAAAGCAATACTTAAGTAACAATATTCGTGGAAATGATATTTTAATTTGATGACATTTACATATCGCTAATGATGAATATTATTACATTAACAAAAATTCCAATCGTTGTGAATTAAAACATTTAATCCGTGTATTTTAAATAAAAATAGATAGATAAAGAAAATATTTAAATAATTCATATTATCTTCTCGAATTGTATAAATGAAGCAAGGCTACGGACATTTTCTTTAAACGTACTTGTCTGATTAAGTATTTAAAATTTATGTTTCTTAAAAGGTAGTTACATATAAGAGTTACGTAAAAACAAAATTGAAAAAATTTATAATAATCAACGAGACAATTATTATCGAAAGAGAAAATTAATGAATCACTATACGTAGCCTTTTCCAAACGAAAACTTTAAACGGACAGATAGAAAGACAGGTAAATTTTTTATTTTCATTAGCGATATCGATCGATGCCATAGAAAAAAAAAAAGAACAAGATGTGAAATACTGTCGAACGATTAAATTAAATGTAATAAATGAACGATTTAATCGAGGTGTTATCGTATTACATAAAAATTCGCGTAAATTGAAATTCATAAGATGTGAAATTTAAATCGACGAGTTTGTATTTGAAATTAAAAAGAAACTGTACAAAATGATGGAAGGTAGTTTTAAAATGATCGATTTCAGCTCCTAGCAAAGAAAAAATTGCAATAGATTTTATTTCGTATTATTTTTTTGTTGATAATGAATATATATTTTTATAGATGGGAAACTATTTATAACAATGACCGTAATTCATAACGTGTTATACGAATTCACAAAGTACGAAAATCGATTAAAACGAAACAATTTTAAGATCGTTTCGTTAGCGAAATATTATATCATTCGCATTTTGCAATTATAATCGAATCCATTGAATCGATAGACCGTTGATTACAATTGACACGAATGAAATATCAATTTTATTTGTTCGTTTCTTCGTGAAGAATAAAAAAAATGAATGAATAAATAAATAAATAAATAAATAAAATACGTATAAAAAAAAACGTATCTAACTGGCCGTCCCATAAAATGTGGCAAAAAATGTTATAAACACTGGAAAGTGTTCTTAAAAATTTTAATGACTTTTTTAGTTACGTTCTATTTATCGAAGAATTCGATTCTAAGAGAAAATTAGAACATGATATTCAATCGATAATAATATTCTACGAAAACAATCATCTAGAAACACTTTGTATAAGTATTAACTTTTTCTTTTTTTCATTTTTTTTTTTTTTTTGACCGAAATAATTAGCTAAGTTTGGTAAATGAATGTTACTAATGATTCATATTATTTCTTGATGTGTTAACACTCACAACATAATTTTCACTTTTGTTCGCTTCCTAATTCCTATTATATCTTTAACTAAAAATAAAAAAATTAAAAAAAATAAAAATTTAACATCGATATATAAGAGCATTTAAGATAATTATACGTGTTCATCTTTCTGATTTGATATTGTAATAGGAAAATATTTTGCAACGGCAATGGCCTACGTTCGACCGGTTTTTTGTGCATACCTTAATATTTGTCACATATGTATAGCTAACTAATAATAATACTCTATGTATAATTATACTACCTTGCATAAAAACAAAAAGGAAAGAGAAGAAAAAAAAAAAAGAAAAAATCCAGATTATGCAGATAATTAACGAGGAAAGAAAAATATCGTGTTAATAATCATTGCTTTGATTTTGCGCAAGTAAAAATTTTTAGATGAATGTGTATAGACCGATTTTACGGAGTTCTGTTGTTTAAATCTTAATCGTTAAGGTATCATCGATTTTCATCGAGAAATCGCGAAAACTTTTAGAGAATTCTGTATTTTTGGCTTACACAATGTCCCTCTTATTAAATAACCCAAGAAAACATTTGATATCACTATAAGAAATAAATCATTTCTTTAATGTTTTATCATTGAAAGAGGAAAAAGAAAGAAAGAAAAAGAAAAATAGAAACGTCATAGATACCGTTCACGTGTATATAGAATAATTAATACATTTCGATTCATATTAGCGAGAAATTTTTAGATTGTTTTCACAGTGAATCAATCGAAAATGAAAAAATAATGAACATACATTCATACGTTTGTTATTATTTTCGAACTGTTATATAAAGTAAGAAAGAGAGAGAGGGAGAGAGAGAAAGAAAGAGAGAGTGAGTGAGTGAGAACGTAAGAGAAAAAAAGAGAGAGAGAGAGAGAGAGAGAGAGTAATAAAAAGACATTGATTTATTATAATGGGGCATGGTACTGCAAAAGAGGATCCATGAAAACAGACTTCTCCGTGAAAAAAAAGGAGTATATTTTCGCAAACATGGGCTTCGTATTGCTGTCCGAATACACAATTGAATATTCTTTATAAATATATGTCACTAAGTCTTCTTGATCTAATATACATCGTAAGATCTTTTCTGAAGGATTAAAAGGGCTAAAGAAAAAAAAAAAAAAAAAAAAAAGAAAAAGGAAAAGAAAAAAAAAAGAGAACTAACTAATTAACTAATTAAATGATTCTTAAACTGTGTATAGCATTTGTATACTGTGCCACTTTGTAATGAATATCAATCTGTCTAATCCTTGAAAAGTTTAATGATTAAGCTTACGTTACTCATCTCATTTGTACATATTAGATCATATTTTTGTCTTTAATGTTAAATCAACGAGGATTTTAACCACAACTAATGGCTTAGTTCTTAGTACGAGGAAAAAAAAATAAAGTTAAAGACATAATGGGACATAAGGAGTTGTTGTTATTTCCGTAGAACAAAAGAGGGAACTTTTATTATTTATATATATATATATATTTATTTATTTATTTATAAGTAAACAAATATATATATATATGTGTGTGTGTGTGTATGTGTGTGTAATTTGAAAAAGAAAATTGAGTTTTAATGCAAGTTGATTTAAAAAAAAAAAAAAAAAAAAAAAATAACAAAAAATAAAAATCGGTATGCATTAAAGATCATTAAAATAAGATTATAGTTTTGTTGTGAGTTAAAATTTGTAGGATAAAAATTTGATAAAATCTTCAAATATACTATTCATCGTAACTATACTATAAAAAGAAAAGGAGCATTTGAAGTGGTGATAGAAATTACGATGAAACTTGCATGCTACTTTAATTAATTGCAGATATATATAAATAGCTTTGATTATTTAACATTAAAATAAGCGTTAACGTTTTTCTTACTCTTAAATTAATAATTATAAGATATAGTATGTAAAAGTATTTAATAATTTTATTTTTACACTGTTTACAATAAAATTTTATCATGATTGGTGGCATGCATCTGCTACCAACCAATCGTTATCGACTGTTAGATATTGCTAACCAATCGTTTTCTAGTTTACTAAAAAACGACATGTACGTGTTAACTCTACTTAAATTGCTTCTACGCATGCGCAAAATATCAGATTGGCCAACTGTAACTTTCATTTTACCCTATTCGATTTAATTCTAGTGAAAAAAATGATAATCATTTTTGAAAGTTCCATTTAAATGAATATGTCACATTATTTGTTACTTTAAAATGTTATTGCCATTTTAATTGTTTTATAATATATATCGAATAATTTTCTAAAAATTATTAAATGATCTTAACTTTTAAACATGGAAAGTAATTAATCAATGTCATTATTTCTTTTATACATTAAACTTTTTTTCTTTTTCTTTTTTTTTTTTCATAAGAATAATATGACGCTAATATTATATGACATTTTCAAGAATAGATCGCGTACAACGTAATATACATAAATCAAATATTTTTATCGATCCAATGAATTTCCTATAACACAGCAGTTAAAGAATTCTCTTAGGCAAGTAAATGTCATTGATCACTATCGATAAATTTTCTCGATAAATTTCATCTTCACTTCATGTAAAATATGCGGAGAAGTTATGAGAGGGTAGGCAATAAGAAACACGTGTTTGAAATGCAATACATACAACAGAACATCAAATATTTCCTATGAAGAAAGATTTTCATAATATATTTTATTTCTTATATGCGTTAATAGGAAAGAGAAATTTTTAAATGAATTTAAAAAAATTTTGTTTACATAATCGTTTCAAAAGAAGATTTCATCACGTTGGCTTATTAAATCTCCTTTTCATTTTATTTGAGCTGAGTTCGTTTTTACGTACGTATGTTATCGTTTAATTCAAAGTCGTTTGAAATGATGAATCTTTCGTTAGTTTACGAAAATTAGAAAAAAAAAAAAGAAAGAAACGTATCATTAAAGTAGTTCGTTTTATAAAATTTCTAAGAATATTATAGATAATCAAATAAAACGTAAACATTGTATCTGCGACGGAGGTTGTCCTTTGTAAATATTGACGCAGTTTGTATCATTGTATCTTAACAAGCGTACGCGTTTCATAACTACGATCCCCATTTTAATTATATTTAACAATTCATTAAAATTGTTGAAACGAATCACTATCATACGAAAATTATTTAACGTATTAATATTATAATTATCTTGATATTAAATTATCATTATTAATTATCTTTTAATTAAATTTCTCGTCGAGTAGTTAAAATCATTTAACAAATACCAAATATGTTCGACGAGTAAAGTTTGTGATCGAGCTTGCAATCGTTTCCGTATTTTGCGAAGGATACAAAGCTGAAGGTATTTATCGCAAATTCATTTCAACTACGTTGAAGCGTGAACTTTCATGAGTCGTCGAAGATAAGGAAGAAGATGAAAAAGAGGAACGTCTTACAACAAACGTCCACAGAAAATTACCTTCGACCAAAGATAGGACGGGAAGAGAATAATTCAAAAAGAAAAAAAAAAATTTCTTTTACCATTCCTTTTTCTTAATAATTAAGTTATTATACTTATTATTTTAATTAGAGTTAGAGACTCATCTGTTAGATAAAAATTTACATTATTAAAGCAAATATAGATATTCATGAATTACTTCGAAGCATTCCAACGATTGGCGTTCGTTACTAATCATCGAAAATGAAATATTGTATAGATGTTAGTTTAAACGTTACATATGTATGTACAATATATATGCATATATGTATGTATTTTATTCAATCGATTCAAAACCTTGGAAAAAGACTGTCGTCCTTGGAGAAGGGTAAAAATAAGAAAGAGAGTGTCTCATTTACGTTCTTTATGGTATTATATAGACATTTCATTATATAATTCTTTCTCCAGAGAAATGAAATCCTTTGACAATTGGTATCCAATCGTTTTACTATGATGGAATATGAAATAAATAGGAAAAATTCAATACAGACAATTTTGTATACGTATCAATGTCGTCGTCGTCATTGTTATGAGAAATGAAAAAAAAAAAAGAAAAAAAAATGAAAAGAAAGAAAAAGAGAGAAAAGATCTTGCGTTTGTTTCATGTATAATAAAACAACGCGAAAAAAGATATCCGTCTAACTCCAACGTGCTAAGCGTAGAAAAGTATTCGTCATCTTTTTGCGTAAACGTAAACCATTCTTATGAATATTCAATATATAATCTTTTAGAGAGCGATGCGCGAAGATAAAAAAAAAAAAAGTAGAAAAGAAAAAAGAAAAAAACAGTAAAACATATATGAATCTAAAGAATAATTTTCGAATCGATGAACCATTACGAATGTTCTCGTAAATGGCAATACTTCTATCATCACTTTTGCTCTTTTACTCGATTAATGAATTTATACGAAAGATAGAAATCCAAAAAGCATCGACAAGAAAGAAGGAAAGTTTCTTTCTTGAAACTCTTTGTAAGATGTTTGAATTTAATTCGAGATAATCTGAAAGTTCATTGTATCTTCATATTTCTTCGGACTAATGATTTTTCTGGAAAATTACATTAGGACATTCGAAAAACCGAAACTGTATTTCATCTTTTACTATTTTCCTTATATTTATTTCGAATTTTCGTCTTTTATTTATTTTATTTCATTATTTATTTATTTATTTATTTATTTTATTTTTTACGCATTCAATTTATTCATTTTGAAATGCGATTTGTCCGAAATATTAATCTCTTAAGTCGACTTAATAGTTTTTATTTCGAATTAAAAAAATTTAATTCGTAAAAATAAATTATTTTTCAAAATAATAAAATAAAAGAAAAATATACAAACGTAATATACATTAATTTATGTTGAATCTCTTTTTTAGTTTATTAATCGAATATTATTTTTTTTTTCTTTTTTGAAGAAGAAAAAAAAGTAAAATGGGGAGAATGAATAGGTCAAAGAAAGAGATCCTTGACGCGGTTGATCTAGATCAAGGATCTTGGATACAAGGATGCTGCTGCTTGATCGGATGAGATATTCAAGCTCCTCGTTGGTAGATCACGAAACTCAAGGTACGAAAATGGGAAAGCATGATCGCGTTCTCGTACAAAAGAAAGGCGACGTGACGAATGCTATGAGCGTGGACGCGAAGATGAATCTCGAAAAGCGATGAAACAGCATCGAAAGAGCTTCTTCTTGTTCTTTCTTCGGCCATCATAGTGATTGCAGAAGGCCCCTACGTGTACATTAATCAGACGAGACGTGCGCTTTCGTTTTAAGGAATGGAGAAGCGTGAAGAAGATCGTCGAGAGCATGTGGAAACGAAATTGTGATTTTGCTGCTCAACGTGAAAGGTGAAAAGAAAATCGGTAATCGTCTTCGATCGATGATCGTTGAGTAATTGCAAGGATGTAAAACTCGTATGTATACACATATATATACATCTTATATACATAGGTATACCATTTATTTAAAAGCCTGTTTCTCTTTAATGCCGTTTAATAATCCAAAATATCCGATGATAATATCTCTTCGATAATACTCTCTAAGATTTCAAAGGTTCATTTATATATATATATATATATATATATATATATATATATATATATATTTTTTTTTTTTTTTACGAACGATCATAAATACATATGCATACATTGAATCAAGGAAGACATTTTTCTTTTCTTTTTCTTTTTTTTTTTCAGCAAGCGATTTTGCACAATTAAAAGACATTCTAAATGTATATACTTACTTAGAACGTATTTAAAAAGTGCGTATACGAAAGAGGACATTGCATCGACCGGCATTAAAAGACACGAAGTACGTTCAATACTTACCTCTCAACTAACTCTTTCTTTGTTGCACAACTGAACGTTTCTCGTTTGTTCCACGAAAAAGCTTCGTTACGGATCTTCTTCTTTTTCTTCCTTTTTTTTTCTTCTGATCGTCTCGACAAAAGGAAACGTCGTGCAAAATAACGGCCATCGAATAGTCTGAGAAGTTAACTTTCGAGTATTGCCATTTTCATTGTATTAATCCGTTTTAGGTAATCCATTTTGAAAAGATTGCATAAATTGCCGTCTCGATAGGGTGAAAGGGGAATCCGGAGGTGATCGTCTCGTACCCGTCGAGAACGGAATCCTCCGGTTGGCTACCTCTAACATGTGAGCAGTCTAGCGAGTTACAAAGAGAAAGAAAGAGAGTGAGAGAAGGACAGGTGGGGTTATTTCCCAGGTAGTACACGCACGCGATGCCCCGGACTCGATGCCCAGGTTCGATTTAATGGTGGGGGAAATTTAGGTTACTCGTAGCACCAAGGGAATGTGGGCCGACTATATACTGGCTCATCACGATCCTCCGTCAGTTCATTCCTTCTTTGTATTTCCAATTCGTAAGACCGATCTTCTTCAATCTCTTCCTTCAACACTCGGCCTCTTTCTGTCAATCGTCGTTGGATTTTTCTTGCGTACAAGAAATACTTCCTGCCGATTTTACTCCCCGAACTTAAATCGTACAGGAAGAAAAGGAAAAGAAAAAAAAAAGAAGAAGAAGAAGGAGGAGGAGGAAGAAAGAGATTTTTGCTGCGAATTTTTTTTCCAGTGAGTACGACTTTTATTATCTTCTTTTTTATTTTTTCTCTTTTTTTTTTTTTTTTTTTTTTTAATTATCTTTTTTCTTTCTTTTGCAAATAAGATTTACGTGAATTCTTAAGAAATTATGAAAGAAGATATTTTGTTATATCGTCGGTGAGAAAATTTTGTCAAGATTCGAATCGATTGCTCTGGTATCTTTTCTCAACTTTGTTTATTGCAGATTTATTTGCGACTTCGTAGGATTATGTTAGATCAATTTATTTATCGTAAAATCTCGTAGTTTAACGTTCGTTATTGGTTTTGATTTTTCATAAAATTAGAATCCATCTGTGATCTTGATCGCGAAATAGCTTGAAATATTACGCACAGATATACATACGTGTTTTTCGTTGATAACTATATACGATGTTCATACTTTTTTTTTTCTATAAGTATATCATACATTTATTTTAAGTCTATGACGCATTATGACCTATGACGTCTTTCTATTAAAAAAAAAAAAGAAAATAAAATAAAGAGAAAAAGAAATTTGCATACACGAATGTCTATTTAAATGTCCAAAAATAAGTTTTGTAGAATATATTTCTTTCTTTTTTGTATAATTTAAATTCTTCGTTGAATAAAATAAGGATTAATAATAAAAAAGTGATTTGTTGAATTATTTCAACTTTGTTAAAAAGGTGTCAATAACTTTACAACTGGTTAGCTTTACGTTGATCAGGTCCGGAACGTATGATGAGATTCTGGTTCCATGTGCAATGATCCGCTTTAAATAAGATAACTTGATATTATAAGCTTTGCTTCCATGTAAAAGAAAAACTTTTGAGTTTTCATCAAAATTCTAATTTTTTCACTGTTCGTAAAAATAAAACGTTAATACATTTTTGAATAAAATCTAGAGAAGGAGGGAGAGAGAGAGAGAGAGAGAGAGAGAGAGAGAGAGAGAGAGAGAGAAACGAAAAGAGATAGGACTCTCTTCTGCAATTTAAAATATTAATAATTTTTAATTTATTGAAGATAAAAACAAGTTATAGAATGTTTCTATCTCAATATATAATATTATTTTGTTATTGATAAATTTTAACGCATTTATTATCGTCAAAATTATATATTACAATACTTTATTTTTGATTATCTAGAAAAATAAAACAGTAGAAAAAATCAAACTCAAAAATCAAAAATCTTTTTATTCAAAAGACAAAATTTATATACAATATGTATTTTACATCATTTTGCACGGATATATTTCACCAATTACTTTCATGTTTTACAAATTCGACGGAAATGATTGATATTTTAAATAGCACAATGTAAAGTATCACACACACACATATATATATATATCTGTGTAATTATCAATGACTCGTTACATCACGAAGAATTATATGTAATCTGAGCGCGTATATAAAAAACCCATTAAGAGAGATTTTCTGCGAAGACAGTTTGTCAATGTCATCTAAAAAGTCGCTAAACATATACTTTCTCTAGTATTCGATAAAAAATGAAAAGAAGAAGAATAAAAAAAAAAAAGAAAAAAAAAGAAAATAAAAAAAGCGTTAAAGAAATTTCACTAATACAAGTAAGATAATAAGCAAACATGCAACTAACCATTCGTCCTTACGCAAGAAACTTTAGGCTCGTTAAGAACCGATTGCGTATGTATCTTCCTAAGAGAACAAGTACATAATCCATGGTTTAATGTTCCTACTTCGTATACATATCAACGTATGTACATAGATGCAATAAGTTTGCTTATAGCAACTTTCGAGAGCAAGACTTTTGACCGTACGCCTCTTGGTTTTGCGAAATCAAATGCTTCTCTCGTTTAAACCTGCTTAACCATAAGCAATGTTTTTATCTCCCTCCTTCTATTCATCATTCTACACACACACACACACACACACATCTATATCTATGTATATATATATACTTTCGCGAAAGTAAACTCAATAAATTATATTGATTCTTTATTGCAATCTCTCTCCATTACGAAAGAAATATTTACTTTCTTTATATTATTTTGAAATCTTTCCGAAAATATTTGGAAATATGTATGTTTATCCAAAAATTTTTTCTTCATAGTTCATTACGTTATTTTTATTATTATTTTGATTTTAATTGTTTAATTTTTTTTTTTTTTTAATCGGTAAATTCAATGAAATTCTATTCACTTGTAAATAGAATTTTTCTTTGATATTTACAATAATATTTATTTTTTCTCAATTACTTTTTTATTTTTTTTAAAAGGTAATATCAAATTCTCTCGACTCTTTTGATCGATTATTTAATCCTTGTAGAGAATAAAATATTAAAAAGCATTTTCATGTACAATAATGGCAAACCATGTTCCACAGAAACGTTCGCAGTAGTATGAAATTATCGTCTCTCGGATTAGTAGGGTGTTTCTAATTTATATGCCTCCGACTCTTTTGTTCTCCTCGTCTAATCTGCATACAATGTCAAAAGCTTGTCGTCAAAACAATTAGTCACGCGGTCTGTTGCAAGAGAAGCGCGAACGCTTTCCATACGGCGAGTACTCATCACCGAAACGATTTGTCTGCGAACGTTCACAGAACGTTCCAAGTATCTGAGTGACGATTAATTAGCTCGAAGAATTAATTAATTTCTCTTTGAGATTAATTAATTTCTTATTTCTAGTATTGAAATGACGTACAACTCGACGACGATGACTTTTCATTGAGTGCCCTCAGCTCGAATGAAATATTAATTTAATATAATTTTTCATTATTTCGTTTATTATAAAAATACTTGAAAGCAATTAATTTTTCAAATGCGAATAATTTTTTTTAGATAAAACTATTTATTAACTATAGGAGGAACTGTCAAGCGTTGAATCGTCGCTGCTTGTTGTACCGTTGCTTCTATGGTAAAAAACGGACCGGCATCTCGGCGTTTATTCGGAACGCATCCGAGCCATTCTTCTTCGTTGCTTGCGGCAAAAAGTTCGAACCATGAGCTCTTGGTTATCGTTACGCTTCCATTCGCCTTCGGTTACGTCGGAATTCGTTTGAAAATTGTTCCCGAATGCGCGACCGACTCTCCATACGACGAAACACGTTCGTCCTATTAATTAAAAATCGTTAATCTACGTGTAATGATCTTTTAATGATCTCAATTCACCTTTACCTATTTCCTTACGTAAAATTTTTTTTTCAATAAACAATCAATAAAAACAAATTAGATCACGTTTGTATTTTCAAAAAGACATTTATTCTAATACTAAAATTCTTATTTTTAGACAAAATAAAATCCTTATTAATTTGATTCATATAATATAATAAATTAATAAAAGTCTTGAAATATATAATATAAACATAAAACTTTCTCTCTCTCTCTCTCTCTCTCTCTCTCTCTCTCTCTCTCTCTCTCTCTCTCTCTCTCTCTCTCATTCTCTTTAACGAGATTAAGTTGTTAGTATAATATATTTTTTTTTATAGTTCAATTTTTTTTCTATTTTTTAACCTAGATCGATTAATTTTAATACTATTTTAGTTTAATTTAATTTTTATAGTTTAATTTCTTTTTTTTTTTAATTCTTTAACCTAAATCAATTAATTTTAATACTATTTTATTAAAAGAACGATCACATTTATCCTACATAGATGATGCGTGAACGAAGAGATGCGTGAAATTGGTGGCGATAAAATTAAGAAGGATGTTCGTAAAATGACTTGGCACATTAAACGAGTAAGCCCTTTTAATAGAGTAGACGAGGAGAAGCTACTCTTAAATGCGAGTTTGTATACCTACGTTAAGTTCGTTTCAAATCGTTGCGTTGAACCAGGTAAAGTAGTAAGCCGGCCAGCTAACGGTTACACCACTCTTACAGCTACGTACACAAGCTTACACACGCAGACCAGGAACGATCGTGGCCGATCTCTCCTTCCGAGAGAACTGTCTTGTACGGTTATCATTCTCATTCACGTTCTCGCAGTCACATTCTCATTCCCATTCTCATTGTCATTCTCATTTTCTTAAACGACGAAGACGAGCTCTCGCGAACTACGAATTCGAAAAGATTTTTCTACTTTTCTTTTTTTTCAATTCTTTGTCCCTCCCCCGTCTGAAAAAGTCGAAAAAATTTTCTTTCAAGACGCCAAGTTAAAAGCACATTAGAAGGATGAATCCAACTGTCTTTTATCGTTTACGATTCATTCCAAGTCCGCAAACGTCCGGTCTCTATCTGAATCCTCGAGAGGTAGAAAGGCGTTCGAACGAGGTCGAAATTAAATGTCGTCGGTCGACCTTGTAAGGTGGGCCATCGAGAGAGACTTCCAATGTTCTAGTTCGCGCTTACTTCGTTCAGAAAGTATGCGGATAGATCTTAATTATCACATATAGATATTAATTATATAAAAAGATTTCAAGGTCTTTATTTTCTCTCAATCCCTTTCTCTTCTTCTTCTTCTTTTCCTTTTTTTTTCTATGGAAACGTTTCATCCTTTTCCTTCTTTCTTTTTTTTTTCTTTCTTTCTTTCTCACTGTTCAATTAATTTCATAAAACATTAAGAATGTTTCTTTATATTTTTCATTGGCTCGATATATATTATTAAATGATATCTTTAAAATTACATTGCGGAAGCTGAAATTATTAAGAAATTTGCATGAAATAACATTCGTAACGGTACAAGTTTGAAGATCGTTTTTTTTTTCGATTCTTTTGATGAAGAAGAATAAGAAGAGGAGGAGGAGGAGGAGGTGGCCCGGGGCAATGCACGTGTCGTTTCGAGATCCATCGATCTTGAACTGAGAGAGGAGAGATATCTGAACTAATGAGCCGATTCTTGAACAACTTTCCTTTCTATTAATGTAGCGCATCGTTCGACGAACGAAAACAAAGTTTCGATCTTCCTGCTATCTCACGTTTTCGCTAGACTAGACTTCCTCTTCTTTTTACTTCATTGAAAGAGATTTTTCGATCCGTAGGAACTTCGAAGTTAGTTTTCTCCGTCTCTTCCTCGTTCTCTTATCGATGTCACATCGTA